TCCAGGCTCGTGGGCTCGCCCAAGAGCGGGCTCGGCTCTCCTCCTGGTGAGGCCCGCTCGGCTCGTGATTTTATGAGTTCGAGCCGCCCACAAGCCCCGTTTTCACGAGCCAAGCTGTCAAGCCTACGAGCGGCTCGGCCCTTTTGACATCCCTATAACATCATAACAAATTTTTGGCTGAAAAATGCTTGTTCGCGGTCGAGTTGATGAGTTTTACTCTCATACTCATCATTCAACATTTGGTCATTAGCTTGCATCGCTTAAACAAATTGGTTGCATGATGGATATGGCACTAATGTTGAGGTTGTTTCATATCGATTGTGGATGGGATTGATATTCAATTTGTAAATGTGAGGAAAAGTCGTATCTCTTGAATTAGTTTTTGGGGGGTGAGAGAGATCCAATTCCATCCAACATTGGTATCATAGCCCGATTTATCAACAAGTCTCAACCCAACAATCGTCTCCGGTTCAACAATCATGGAGATATAGGTTTATGTGAGGAGGAGACGAGTTTGGTCTCTCACAGGGCTCGATATGTGGGGAGGAGATGTGTTTGGTTTCCCACAAAGCCCAATATGTGAGGGGGAAGTTGTAGAAGTTATCTCACATCAATTGTGAATGAGGTTGGTATTCAGTTTATAAGTGTGAGGAAAAGTCTCACCTATTGAACTAGTTTTTGGGTGAGAGATGCTCAATGCTACCCAAGAAATAATGCCACCGTCACAATGGAAAATCTTTTATATTTTTGGACTAAGCCTCTAATCAATTGAAAATCTTTGTCTGTTTCTCTTTCGTAACATCAAGAAGTCGAGTCTGAAGATAATTTCGCACTTGTGTCAAATCTAAGCAAGAGGAGAATTAGTTGTTTCCTTTGTGGAATTTTCATTTTTACCTTGAACTTTGAGGAGAGACTTAGCCCTTGTTTGAGCCCTATTTTTGTGAAGAAAATGAATTTTTGAATAGTGTATTCGTGGGAAATATGTGGTTAAAAAAAAAAATTTTTGATTTGCGTATAATATTATTTTATTGAAGAATATGTGATTGAAATAATGTCATCACTGTTGAAAAATGTATTTTGATTGAAAAATGGGGCTCAAACAAGGGCTTAAGAAAACTCGATATGAAATGTTTTCGTAAAGAATAGTTGCACACATTAGAAACGATCTATAAAATATTATAATTTCATGTTTAATGTAATGTATAATTCTTCAGTATTCAATTTTAAAAATATAAATATAAGAAAGTATTTAACATCAATCGAACACTATAAATAACACATATATTCACAAATAAAATTTTAGTTTGTTTCGTCGTGCAATTAAGTTTCATTCTTAGTTGAATTATGTAGTTCCTAATAAAGTATTAATGATTTCTTAATAAATTTTCTTTAAAATTTCCAAAATTAATTAAAAAAATTGGAAAACACATATTTGTTAAGTATAGGAAACGGTTTTAAGGTTCTAAATTAAGATAAAAGGTTCTAAATTAAGATAAAAAAGAATGAATAGATCATCAACTTGACCACAAAGATATAACTGCTTATAGAATATTAACCAACTGACCTCCCTATATATAAGAATGTTGGGTTGGTAGAAAACACAAACAAATTTTCTTTTGATCTTTATAAACAACAATACTGAAGAAATATGGCAAGGCTTACCCAAGTTTTAATTTTCTTTGTTGTAACTCTAAGCTTCCTATCCCTCCCTAACCTCATCTACTCAGAAGACGTTCCCCAACCTCCAGTTTGTCAATTTCATGTTCAGGGACAAATTTATTGCGACACATGTCGTGCTGGATTCATTACTGAACTTAGCGAGTTCATCGCAGGCATATAATTATAATATGTACAAAATGGTACTCATATTGTATCTTGCTTTCCATGTTACCAGAGAGAGATAGAAGGCTATTGAGGTTGAATTCATTGTCCCCATAGTTGAAGAATTTTGGCAAAAGATGATTTTGATGCTTCAATTGTTGATAAACTTCCTTATGAGGTAGTTTAACGTGCTATTAGGGAACAAACATCTAGAATTCAGCCAATTGTTTAAAATAAGTCTGGACACGTGAAAGATGTGTTGAGAACTAAATTTAAAGGTGCTTTAAACTTCATATCACATATCACTCTTTTATTTTTACAACGTGAGCATGCAATAATTAGAATACAAACCCTATCTCAATAGCCAAATTAAGTGAATGCTTGGTTATAAGAATTCCTTTATTGTGCATGCATGCATCTTCTTTTTGGCGATATATGTGTTGTTGAGGAACTGGACCATGATATATACAACTCATAATTTATAACTTAAATTTAAACTTCTAGGTGCCGGTGTACGTCTCCAGTGTAGAGACAGTAAGAAAGGAAACATAACATTTACTGAGGTAGGTTACACGAGAGCGGAAGGACTCTATAGCATGTTAATTGAACGCGATCACAAAAACGAGTTTTGTGAAGTCAATTTGCCTTCGAGCAGCAGAAAAGATTGTGATGAAATCCCTATTGAAGGATGGGTAAGACCATCATTGAGATTTATACTCAACACAGTAAATGGTACCACACGCACAATAAAACCTCTTGGATTCTTCAAGAATAAAGCTCTTCCAAAATGTCCACAAGTCTTTAATAAGTTGGGTATGTATCCTCCAGATCTTTGAAGAGCAAAAAAAAAATTAAAAAAAAATAGATGTTGATTTATTCCAAGATCCTTAATTTCCTCGCTTTGATGTAATTGAAGAATTGTTTGTGCCATTTGTCAAGGCTTTTGATTGCCTAATTAGAGTGCCGAGTACCATAGAATAATTTTACTTTGTAATTTCTGTAAGTTCCCAAGAATTTCCTTGTGGAATGACAAAAAAATTTGTAGATTATGAAAATAATTGCAATATATATTTTAATTTTCTTCTATTATTTGGTGTCAACCTACTGTTTATTTATTAGGAATAAAAAACCAAAATTACTTCGAATGAGGCAGTTTACCTCCTGTACACCACGATATACGAAAAAAGGATAAGAATAATATATATAAACTTAGTAATACACAAACCATTTAATTCTAAAAATTAATTGAGCGTCATGCGGTAAAACCAAGTCAAAATCATAACTCCACTTACTGATTCTATGACGTGAAATTCATCACTGGCCAAAGTTAATACTTTAATTATTAGTTCTCTTAATCCAATGGAATGGTCAATATATTTACATATTTCAAAAACTAGTCATAGTTAATGTGCAGTGCACGCTGTTTTTAAAAATTTTTAAGTCTTAAAAAATTTATTTTTTGGTTTTATTGAAAGATTGACGAAATTGCAAATATTAAATTTGTAGATTGACTATCTCGATAACAAATTGTTGACATTTCTTCTAAGGCATGTTTGAGCCACATTATTCCAAAAAAATACATTCTTAAACAGAGATTTGACATCATTTCAATCACATATTTTTCAATAAAATAATATTACACGCATATCAAAAACTTTTCCTTATTTTTTAACCACAAATAAATTAATTTTGGGTGGGTTTTTTTTTTTTTTTTTTTTTTTTTTTGAAAATTTGTGTGTCAACATGTTCATGTTGCGTCGATGCTTCCTAGATGATCCGTGGTGCAAGACTCTGAGAGGCGGAATTGGACTCACAAATTTTGAAATAGTAATCTTAAACACATCTGTACATGATTTTTATTGTGTATGCATTACATGAGGACACTGAAATCCTTGTTAAAATTGATTGGAAACGCGCCAAAGAAGCATCATGCCCAGTGAATTTGATCTTGTGTACGGTGAGATTCCTGTGTTGAAACCGGCGATTATCTTTGGCTAAAAAATGGTTGCTCGTGGTGGAATTGATGACTTTTGCTCTCAGACTCGTCATTTGTCATTGGCTCACGTGCTTGCAGGTGTTAAACAAATTGCTTGTATTATGAATATATTGTTAACTGTTAAGAGATATAATCTCACATCGAATAAAGATGAAAATATAGACTAATTTATAAGGTATTGGATTACTCATCTTAATAATGTTGATCTTTTAATATGGGACCCAAGTCTTAACATGGTATCTTAGTCTATTAAGCTTTAACAAGCAATTCAATCCGATTAAGAATAAAAAATGAGCATACAGATTTCAAAATTGATCTGTTCTAACAAACCACCATCTTGCGAGGCATGTCAAGAGATACTTCCATATCGAATAAAGATCAAAATATAGACTAACTTATAAGGTTTTGAGTTACTCCTCTTAACAAGGTTGATTTTTTGAGATCCTATATTGAATAAAGATGAAAACATAGACCAACTTATAAGATCTTAGGATACTCCTCTTAACAAGATTGATCTTTTAAAATGGAACCTCAAATTTTAACATATTCCACTTACGCCAATGTTCGGACTAATGCCTCTAGCCAAATGATAAACTACGTGTGTTTCTCTTTTCACAAGAGAAATTTAGTCTAAAGAGAATTCCGTACTTATAATAAATGAATAACCAGTTGTTTCCTTTGTGGGATTTCTATTTTACCTTGTACTTTGGGGGGAGCTTGAGAAACGAAGTGTAAAACTTGATAGGACCTAACACGATATGAAAATGTTTTTGTGAAGAAGATTAAGACACATAAGAAATAATTTTGGAAAAAAAAGGATAAAGTTACAGCTTCATGTTTACTATAATGTATTTATTCAGTATTCAATTTCAAAAAATATAAAAATAAAAAACTATTTAACATCAATTGAGCACTAAATATAACACACAGTATAAATAAAATTTTAGTGTGTTTCGTCATGCGTGTCATTCTTAGTTTAATTACAGCCTCTAATAAAATATTTCATGATTCGTGCATAAAATTTCTTTAAAATTTCCGAAAGTAATTAAAAAATTAGAAAACACATTTGTTAAATATAGGAAACGGTTTCAAGATTCTAAATTAAGATCCAGAAAATAATGAATAGATACTCAACTTGACCACATAGAAATAACTGTCTACTGAATATTAACCAACCAACCTCCCTATAAATAAGAATATTGAGTAGGTCTAAAACACAAATAAATTTTTTTTCGATCGTCCTAAACAAAAATACCCAAGAAATATGGTAAAGCTTATCCAAGTTTCAATTCTCCTCCTTATAGCTTTATGCTTCTTGTCCCTTTCTGGCTTCGTTTACTCGGAAGATGTACCCCAGCCCCCAGTTTCTCAATTCCACATTCAGGGACAAATTTATTGCGACACATGTCGTGCTGGATTCATTACTGAACTTAGCGAGTTCATCCCAGGTATATAATTATAGTACATATAAAATGCTACTCATGCCGCATCTTGCTTTTCCATGTTATTTAACAAAAATGGCTATTGAGGTGGAATTCATTGTCCCGACATTTGTAAAATTTCAGCAAAAGCTGATTTTGATGCTTCAATTGTTGCTGAACTTTCGTATCTAACAGTTTATGAGGCAATTCAACATGATATTAAAGAACGAACATCTAAAATTGCAGCCACTAGTTTAAAGTAAATTGTACACTTACGAGGCACATGAATTTGCACACATGAGAAGATATGTTAAGAAATATATTTAAAGACGCTTTAAACTTTATATCACATATCATTTCTCTTTTATTTTTAAAACTTGAGCATGCAATAATTTCAATAAAACCATATATCAATAATCCCATTAAATTAATGCACGTTTTTAAGAATTCCTTTGTTGTGCGTTCATGCATCTTCTTTATAGCATGATATGTGTTGTTGGGAAACTGAACCATAATAGGTACAATTCATAATTGATAATTAAAATCTCGACTTATAGGTGCTGGTGTACGTCTCCAGTGCAAAGATGGTAAGAAAGGAAATATAACATTTACTGAGGTAGGTTATACAAGAGCAGAAGGACTCTATAGCATGCTCATTGAACGCGATCACGAGCACGAGTTTTGTGAAATCAAATTGCTTTCAAGTAGCAGAAAAGATTGTGATGAAATCCCTATTGAAGGATGGGTAAAACCATCGTTGAGATTTATGCTTAACACAGTAAATGGTACCACACGCACGATAAAACCTCTTGGATTCTTCAAGAAAAAGGCCCTTCCAAATTGTCCACAAGTCTTTAATAAGTTGGGTATGTATCCCCCAGATCTTTGAAGGGCAAAACGAAGATGTTAATTTATTCCGAGACACTTAATTTCCTCGCTTTAATGTAATTGAATAATTGTTTGTGCCATTTTGTCAAGGCTATTGATGGCCTAATTAAAGTGCCTAGTAGTATAGAATAATTTTACTTTGTAATTTTCTGTAAATTCCCAGGAATTTCCTTGTGGAAAGACAATAAATTTGTGGACTCTGAGATAAACATTAATTCTATTATTTGGTGTCAACCTACTATTTATTTATTACGAGGAAAAAAAACAAAACTTACTTCGAAAGAAGCGCTTAACCTCCTCCTGTCGAACACAATATACTTAAAAGGGATAGAACAACATAGTGGCATACATCCAATTCAAGTCTAAAAAATTGAACTTCATGCAAACAACAAAGCCAAACCCCTAATAGTGGTCCTAAACTTTAAAACCGTAATTTCCCTTAGTGATTCATTCTATAGCGTGAAATTCATCACTGACTAAATTTGTTACTTTAATATTAGTTCTCTAAATACAATGGAATGATTGATACATTCACATATTTTAAAAACTAGTCGTAATCAATGTGCAATGCACACTATTTTTGGATTTTTAAAGTAAAGTGCATGCTTTCCCAAGTTTGCTATCAGATCTTCTGGTCTTCATCAGGCCAGCCCTCATATTCTGGGGCCTTATGTGAACTTTAAATATGGGCCCCTATATTTAAGTCTTATTATATACAATTTTAATATAATATGAAGAATCTAATACAAACAACTAAATTCCAGAATTGAAGCGGAAAATAAAAAATTTCAAATTTCAACATGCAATACAAATTATAAATGAAGTTTAGTAAACAAAATTACAATGCAATGGCAAAGTGGTCTGTTCGTTTCTTTAATCATTTTCTTCTTGCAACTATTGTTCTTTTCTTTGATCATTTTCTTCTTGTAACTATTTCAAACAAAATCGAATATGCATTTGAGTGATTTATATACAAAGTTGAAGAACATTGACTATGAGAGATAGTGTAACAAAATAATAAAAATGACGTTCAAATACAAATGAACGTCTAATTTTATATTAATACATAATAAATTAACTTACAAATAAAAAGTATGAACATGGACGAAGAATTATTAAATTCAACGTATCTTCAACAAACATTTAAAAACGATATTATCATGAAATTAAAGCAAAACATTAATAATAATAACCTATGTACTCTATGGTATATGTTCTGAAGATAAAGGAGAAAGAAAGAAACATGTAACACTATAACAAAGACAGTAAGACCAGACCAATTAGCTAAATTGAATCTTCAAAATTTTAATTTAGAGGGAGTTAATTTATTCTTGTTGGGTTGAAAAATTTATTATGGGTTACAGGTGGATGTGGAATATGAAGAGATAAAAAATAAAAATAAAAAACCTTTTATTTGGTCAAGAAAAGAAAATGAATGTTTGGAAAATAAAGGGTCAAATTAGTTATGAGAGAGGGAATAATGTTTGTTATATATTTATGTGACAAAAAAATGTATGTTGTAATTTTTAGAGTGACGCTGCTATGTGGCCTGACATTAAATGATAGGTGGAATTAAATGAGTCATTTATAACATTACACTAAGTTTTATGTCATTTATATGTTTTTTTTTAAAGATTTTTGTATTTTCAATTTTTATTTTGCATATAATAATTCTTTTCTAAAGAATTTCATAAATATTATTTTCAATTTTCTTCAACCAACCAATTAATCTTGAAATAATTTGGGGCCCTCACCAAAGCGAGGTGTTTAGGCAATTTCTTATCCCACCTATAGTCAGGGCGCCACTGGTCTTCATTTTTGGCTTAACCTTGCTGATTTTCGTGTTCTGTTATAAATTATCTTGATGATCCTAGAAATAGCAAAGAATTCAAAAGCCACTTGAAGTTTTTTTGTGTGCAGGTTTTTAATATGTCGTGCAGTGGTTGGTACAGTGATGAACTAATGGAAACATAATTCATGTATCTGACCATAAATAAATTGGAAACTATTATATTCGAAACAGTCAATTCAAACAATTCGTATCGCTCACTCGTAAATTCTCCTTATACATCTATGAATGTACAGTTTTCTTACAGGGTCTCAGTACAATGCTACCTACATCAATGTTCATAACTGTTCGAGTTTCCTCTGGTTATTACATCACTTGGCTGCTCCAACCAGGAATCGAACTCCCCACACTTGGTTCCAGAGCCCCCCAATGTGATTGTTCCGCCAACTTGGATGTGCCCTGGGGGGCGTGCAGGTTTTTAATATGTCGTGCAGTGGTTGGTACAGTGATGAACTAATGGAAACATAATTCATGTATCTGACCATAAATAAATTAGAAACTATTATATTCGAAACAGTCAATTCAAACAATTCGTATCGCTCACTCGTAAATTCTCCTTATACATCTATGAATGTACAGTTTTCTTACAGGGTCTCAGTACAATGCTACCTACATCAATGTTCATAACTGTTCGAGTCCAAAACTTTGTCTCTCATTACGGCTTCTGGTGATTATACATTTCTTAAAATCCCACAAACAGCACAAATATTTGAATATATGTTACAGCACAAATATTTGAATATATGTTATTCTTCCCACCGTGTATAATCTAGATATATTTGAGACACGGTACGACTCACTGTTATACGCTACGACGACAGTCAACAATGATAAATTTCTTTTCCTTTAATGAGATCGAATACACATAATAATCATGCAATTTATGCCCCTTTTCTCTTACAATGTCTTGGTATTATAATACAGGTGTTTATAACCTGAATGTGATTTTAAATTGTGTAGTTTCAATAGCTGGTCTTGATTTCGAAACTTTGTCTCTCACCAAAGCTTCTGGTGATTGTGCATTTCTTTATTGTCTAGAGATATTTGTGAACATAAGTTACTCTCTCCGTCCTTTCTAATCCAGACATATTTAATACGAAGTACTCAATAGTATTACACCAAACAACAAAACCTTCTTTTTTATACAATACTATATCCTACATGCAGTTATTTCCTGTTTTTCTTTACAATCTTGATACGATGGCTACTTGAATGCAGTTTTAACTTTGGAAATTTTCAATTTCTGATCTTGGGTTTGAAACTTTGATTTTAACTAAAGCTTCTCGTGAATCTATAGTTTCTTGATTGCTCACAAACAGCATAGATATTTGCGAACATATGTGACAAATTGAATAATCTTTTGGTGGTTGAGAAAATGGGCAATTGATGGGTAAAAGGACATATCTCTGGCCATTAATTGCCTTCTTTTAATGCAGTGTAAGATTTGGTCAGTTCTTTGGAAATTTTTACTCTGAAGATTGATAAAGAGGTTACAGAGGGTAAATTAGACAAGAGAAAGGCCAATGGCAAAAGATCAGATCTGCATAGAAGTTGGATTTTGAGTAGATAAGATCCATGTCGTGTGGTCTCGTCATACTTTGTCTCACATATGTTGAGTTAGGTACTTTATTAACTCTTCATAATAGTCTTCATTGTCCTCATGTACGCTAAATTGCTAATGTAGGTCATAAATTGTTTCATCTAAAGAGGATCAAGATTTTGCCCCTCCGATAAAGATGCTCGAAGCCTGGGCATCAGTCTGGTAAGGCTTTACTTTTACTAGTTGAGCTAAGTTTAAATTTCTAATGTAGGTCCTAAATCATTTTTTATCTAAAGAGGATCTAGATTTCGATGCTCGAACCCTGGCCATCAGTCTGGTAAGGCTTTGCTTTTACTATTTGAGCTAAGTTTTAACCTTCGCTAAATCATTTGATGAAATGTAACACCCCTCGAAATTTCTTCCATATTGCAGGTCCCTAGCAATACCTTAGTTATTGGTAAACATGGTTAACGACCTCACAAAAAGTTTGGAGCGCAGTCGTCCTCCTTATACGAAAACCCTCCTCTTGATTGTTACTAAAGCATACAATTTATATGCAGCTGACTTAAATTTTGTTGAGGATAAAATTATTCATTGCATTTTAAGTATTTTAAGATAGAAATTTAAGTCTCAACATGGTATCAGCAAAAATGTTTAAATGGATAATTTGAATATACATTTAGAGCTCAAACATGGAATCAGATTTCAACGTTTCTGCTCTTGAAGGGCGCCCATATTTTGATGGCACGCTAAGAAAAAATGGGAATTAATTTGAAAACATAAACGCCCCCAATAAACGCTCTACAGAAAGAGGATTCAAGTTTGTGACTCAAATTCCATGTGATTTGGAAGTTTTATTCATTGAGAAAGCCTAAATAATGTTGGTTTGGAAGTTCGGGGGTTGATAAGGGATTGAATTTCATCATGAATTTGGAGTTTGATTGGAATAAGAACTTTGGAATTGATGAAAAAATGATGCAAAAATATTGGGTTTGAAATGGGACGCCTAGGCGTCGAGTCGTGCCACCTAAGCATCTGCAGTGTGCAGGGGAGGCAGTAAGGCCACCTAGTTGGTTTTTTTATGCGATTTTTGTGTTCTACTTCATCCACAACTTCAAGATTTGACTCCTATAAATACACCACAATTTGTAGGCCCTTGAAAGGCTTAACATAACAATTAGATCATTGTTATTTACATTAGAAACTTTAGAGAATTAAATTTTATAAAGACAATTTTAGTTTCTCAGTATAATAAATTCTCTTCTTCTTTCACAAAAATCTGATTTGTTGTGTGATTTATTATTTTCAGAGATGAAGGTTTTTTGGTGGGTTCTTGAAAGGTCCAAATTGGATATTAAAGAGAGGTTGAAGCAATGTCAATTGTTTCAGGAATGGCAACTATGAAATTCAAGATTTCGCTTTTGGATTGCAACAGTAGATTCTCTTTGTAGCAGATCAAGATGCGAGTGGTTCTTGCTCAGTTGAACGTTAATGATGCTTTGTGGGGATAGATAGAATGCCCTCAACAATGACTGGGAGGGGAAGCAATGGAAGGATCGGAAAGCTCTATGACAAATACACCTTCATCCTTCTAATCAAATTCTTCAAGACGTGATAAAGGAGAAAAGTTCTGCTGGGTTGTAGTTAAAATTGGAGTAGCTTTGTATGACAAAGAGCTCGACAAGTAAGTTACACTTAAAGTCGACAAGTAAGTTACACTTGAAGTAGTGGTTTTATTCTTGTTGCTTGACGAAAGGTAGATTTTTGAAAGATCATTTGTCGGTGTTCAAGAAAATCGTCGACTTGAAGACCATGGAGGTCAAGTATGATAAAG